TGCAACCACCATTGATCTGTATAATGGATCTAGACATCTTTACTGAAGAACCCTCGTTTTACAATAGGATAGGTTTTTGTTTACATGGTTTTACACCAAATCAAGCATTCCAAAACATGATTTTGGACTCTGAAGGTTATATGCATCTGAATGCATCTGACCCCTCAAGAGGGCCCTGAAGGGCTGCCCTGACCCCTCACTTCGGATGGCATCTGAACTCCTTGGACCTTCGCTTCTCTGATGGGAGGACCGTGCCATCCACGTAACCATGATTTGTTCTCAGGAAGGGTAGCCATATGTAGCCATCAGTTCTATATAGTTATATATAGTCCCCTTACCTTCACCAGCCGAGGATTGCTCCCATGTCATCGACTGTATGCCACAAGCAACGCAAGTCGAACTTCTCCGCACTGCCTCCAAACATGTCACACCAATCAGGCCCATCAGAGCTTTGATGAGGTGCTCAGTGCTCCCAAAACTCTAAATCTTTCTGCTCAACCAGTCTGAGAAAGTCTCCACACTTTCAGAACATCACACATCACACGTGCCAAGTCGGGTTTACTTTTCAACGCCCCGGACTCCACGGAGACCGACCTCCACGGACCGAAGACCTCAGACCTCCCCACCGAGAGCGAGGTCTTCGGAGCGAAATCGGTCTCCTTGGCACCGACAGGCAGTCGCTCAGGTCATAGTGGCACGGGTCGAAGTTCCCTCGTGGTGCATGGTGACCGGCGGACCCGCCACGGTGTGACAGCACAAGGGTTGGGGGTGTGCTGGTGTGCTTGGGTGATGGGTGGTCGACGTGACACAAGGGTTTCCTCTGAATCGCACTGGGTCGAAGGTTCTTGAACTTCTCAGTTCCCTATCCACCTGGACCTGACTTCAAGTACCTTAGAAAATGGTATATGACCCTATAAAAACAGGTACTTGTACCCATTTTCTGAAGTACTTTGAGACTCCTGGCACAATCTACTATCCTCTCAAACTATCCTCTCGAGCTCTCCTATGTAGGTGCAGTGCCTGTGCATTTTGGCTGAGGCTGTAATTTCCCTACCACACAATTGACTTAATGGCTTGAATCCCCAACAACCATTGTTTGAATTACTGAGGATGTTTTGCCAAACAAGGAACAATGGTTGACCCAAACTGCCTATGGCTGAGGCTATTGGTTTGCTGGATCAGCTATTACTGAGGCTTGAATCCCCAATACCAGGTATTCAAAGAAGTAGTCGTGGGCCCACAATCAGAGGATGCCACCTGCCGACCCCAAGGATGGCTCGCTGACTCACTGTGTCTCTAATCCAGAACCAAGCCACCAGGGCCGCAAGGCACCATCTCCTCAAGCGCGCTGGAGTATGCGACGGAAGGGCTGACTCCGGTTTTTGGAGTTAGGGCCGCTCTGGTGAATGAATCTTGGGTCTATCCCATTACCAGCATCAGTGGATGTTGATGGTTACTAAAGACCTTTCTTTAAAAGAGTGATAATTGTTTACTGACTGTTACAGGTAACAGGACAAACCCAAAATGAATCATGAAAACCGGTTCTGGACTTTGCATTGTCTTCAAGAGGATCCTAGCTGAGTTCTTAGGGCAGGGTCCCTTTCTGCATGAAGCATGACGCATGCTGCAGCTGCAAGCCGTATTTTGAGGCTCATGTAGACTGTTGAAGAATCAGATCCCCTGTCTCCGGTTTTACATCAATAATCATCAGTCTATAGGCTTGGGGAGTTCTTCATCAGATCCCCTGTCAGTCTCCGGTTTTACATCGGCTTGGGGAGTTCTTCATCAGTCTACACTAGGATTCCAAGCACAATTGATCCACGGATCCATGGATCCGACCCTCTCAGGTACCGTGATCGGGTCGCCGAAGCATCAAAAGAGTCTCCCTGCTCACTTTCTGGGAAGGTATGTGGATCCCTAGGGATTGATTTAAGGCTGCTTATGCCTCACAATCATTGAGCTGAGAAGTGCCAAGTGCCTACCCCTAGCGGCCCCAGGCTTCCAGCCAGCTTGCAGACCAAGGCAGTGGTGATGGTTTAAGACTCAAGAGCGATCTGTCCCACTGCCCCGCTGTCCCCGTGTCCAAGTCTAAGTGATTCCAGCCCCTTAAACCCTTCCCACACCAGTCTGCCCACAGCTAGACGGATCGACAAGTTCCGCCCAGCCCGGTCTGAATTCCGCGGCTCGAAGAGTTGACGCAGTCCCAAACACGACCAGTCTGGGACTGGCATAGTATTCACCGGCGCCATTGGGGTGGTGACATGCCGGGGTCAACTGATCGGCAATGACAGACATCGGTCGTGTCTGGGACTGACTCTCACCCTTCACCGTTCTCTCGGTGGCCACACCCGACCGGGCCGACCGGGCTGGCCGATCGGTGCCCGAGCGGCCGTGCAGCCCTGCAAGAGGATCTCAGTCTCGCACACCCGCCCAGGCCCTGCAGCTGGACTGGTGGACTGGAGGAACTGTTTTCTTTTTTTTCGGTTCAGAGTGAGCAGCTGCGCAGCACGCTTGGACATCGCGGCGGTGAAACACGCAGGTGTCGCTTTGGGTGAACACATGGGTGACATGTTGTTGAAGACATTGGGGATGGTTCACACCCAAAGGAGAACCACAAACGCCGACGCCAAAAAAGGGGCCAAATGAAAAACATGCCCCGCCCCACAGGCGCCACAGGTCGTTCTTCTCGTGTCTCGTGACCAACTGTCAAGATCGAGTGAAGGGAGAGGAAGACTCTTTTGGACCGGACACTTCTCACCTGACTGGAAGCCATGAGACGACTCTGGGCACTATATAGTAGAGATACTAGTAGAGATCACTTGGATCTTTTGAGATCCACATGAGTGACTGAAGCCACACTCATCTGGTGAATGTCCGGGAGTTGGGGATATGGCTCTCTTCCTTCACATGGCTCAGTGGATCCCATTGGGGTCATGCTGCATGCTGCTGAGTCCGCCGTTCAGGCTGAAACGCTAGTCCATCGATGCGAGTCCATCACCAGCCACTTGAACAGCATGTACTCACGTGTGCTCACCACCCTGCCTGAGGGCAGGCAGTAGACTTCTGCTTCGCCGGTGTATCCAAGGCCACATTCCTTGGGGGAAAGGTTTGTGTTGTCACCATTGCTTCGCCTGTTGGAGGTCTCTTTTTTTCGCCGAATGGTCGGTTTTTTGCGCCAAAATCCATAGCTTGGACCTCGGATTTCGGTTCTGTGGATTCGGTGGAGACCAACACAGAATGCACTTGATGGAAAATAGCCCTGGCCTTCAAAGACCATCTATATAGAGCTATTGTTTTTGCTGTTTAGTCAAACAATGGTTGTTGGGGATTCAACCCATTGAATCAATGGCGATTTATGGAAAACATAATATTTTAAGAACATCAACCCCAAATCCACCGTCACCAACTGAGCGCTGAGTTCTTCGCCATCACCCTCCATAACCCTCATCATCGCTGGTCTTTGCGCCCGGATGTGTCTTTTGGAAGCTTAGTAATTACTGTATCTATAGCTATACCAGTAGCATCCAGCAGCCTCCAACAAGGCACCACCTGGGATCTGCAACTTATATAACCCACTTGTTCCTTATCCTATCCTGAACAGAAAAGAACGGGAGATCAATCCCGAACTTCCCCGATGAATGTTCTTTCGCCGACAGCGGGCGGAGTGCTCAATGGTCTACAACACCACCGTCGTGGGGAGTTCTTCACTCGCAAAATGACACGACCGTCGTATGGTGCTTCACGACGTAAACCATGTCAAACTCTGACAATGAAGTCGTTGGTTTTTCTCCGGTTACCCTACAACAAGGGCACAACCTGAGTTTGACGCTTACAGAAAAGAAACAAAACTGCACCCAAGAACGGTAGCAGACATGGTGACGCGCATCGTCATCTGTCACAAATCGTTGCCCAAAAGCCTCCTGTAGAATCTTCCAAAAGAAACATTGGAGGTCTTAGCCATGTGGTGCTGCTTATGCTTGGCACACAGCTGTGTTCACAAGAAGCACCGGCATGCCCAACCCCACACCTGTCTACGTTCTGGGACGCAGAGGGCAAGTAGTTCAGCGAATTAATAGCAACAACAACCTCGAAATACTTGCTAACAGCAACTTCTTCTTCTTCTCACGCGAAGTTCGAGGGTTGCGCAGCGCCGTTCACTGGTTCGGTTGACCAGCGGACTCCATGTTAGGAGCTTTTAACGTAGCGGCAACAACAACAACAACAATCACGACCACGACCACGACGACGACGACGACGACAACTTAAACACAAACACAGACAATATGACAACTAAGAAGAAAAATAACAACACCCTCAACCCTCTTCGTCCTCTTGGCATCTCTCCTTGGTCGCATTCAAGTGACCCAGCCACTCTCCTTCGCTGTGTTGCGCCGATAGCCTGGCAGCCACCAATGGCCGGCCCGACGATGGAGGTCGGAGATTCATGTGTCGTTCTTCTTTCGACTGCCCATTAACTGTGAACAACCTGTGTCTCTTTTTCATGATGAACACAAACAAAACATCTATAAATAAAAGAATTATATATATATAAGTGTGAGTGCTGTGAGAGTGTTGCAACTGGGTGCACGGCCAAGTGTTGGGGCGAACATTCATGACTTGCTACTTCGGCATGAAATGCTCGATTCAGATCAATTGAATCGCCCCGGGCTATCGGTTCTTCCCGAATGCTATCCTCATTCAAGGTCCTCAAGTCAGTGACCTTCTGTGGTCGACGGTCGTCGCTCAGTTCGACTAGTCGCTTATGAGAACCTGGAAGCGAGCGGCGGAGCAGCGGCGGAGGTGACGGATTGGAACTGAACAAAAGGAATCCGCGCCCGGCCACTGACCGCAGGTCGTCGGATCATGTCATACCCTGAAACAACACAAACTAGGATATCGATATTTAAGTGATTGAAACCGGAGTTCCCAAGTGCATCCCCAAGTCAGATCCCAGGGACCTTTCAGAAGAGGCTCAAATCCTTCAGTCCAATCCTTCCTCCTCACATCCTTCCATCCACAATCTTCCATTCATCCCACTCCGTCACCATCAGACCGCCTGCGGGGACGAAGTCACACTCTGTGAGGCAGTTGGGCATCTTTCCCATGAGCGGCTGCAAGGGATCCGTATTGCCTGGTGTCCGGGAACCGCAGGTGGAACCGACCAGAAGCGACCGCCACGTGGCAAAACGGTACCCGTTCATACCCGTTCACCATACCCTTCCACAAGCAACATTCCCAGACACGACCGATGTCTGTCATATATGCCGATCAGTTGACCCCGGCATGTCACCACCCCAATGGGGCGGTGAATATGCCAGCCCCATTGGTCGTGTCTGGGACTTGGTTGACCGTAACATCCGCGATGTTCAAGGCCGAGGCCCATGGGTATGCCGTACGTAAAAAGAGACCCTGAGGGTATGGCCTCCCAAACCGGCGAGCCCTGAAAAGATGGAACCTACGACCATCAAGATGATTCAATATGGAAATCACTAACAAGATTGGATTCTGTCTCATCTAAGAGAAGTCCGTCCTCTGTGTATGTCTATTACGTCCGACGCCTCTCTTTCCTCATTCAGCTTGACTTCCAGGTAGGCCGGCACTTCCCATGTTTATTTGTGTTGTTTCCTTCAGATGTTTCTCTAGCTAGCGGTCACAGACCCCGGATAGCTTCAAAGTCAAACAAGTCTTCTGTGCAATTGATTAATGTCCAAAGATCTTCCCAAACTTCATACCTGTCTTGAAGATGTGTCCTTTTTCGTGAAGCCTATTAAACTAATAGGTGGTTGGAATCCAGGGTGTCTACGAATCACTCCACCCCGCCGAGTCACCTGTCACTGCATGTACTTGCTGGTTGGTTACTTTGTGGAAGAGCCATCTTCATAATACCAGGAGTCACCATGGAACCACTTCAAATTGGTTCTCTTTTTCACAAAGCGCAAACCAAAAGAACATCGAAGATATTCCAAGATAGTAAATGACACCGCATGTTTCATGACCAAACATTCCCCACAAGATTCCCCAACCCCGTAGATTCAGTTATAGGAATTCACTGCAAGAATGGCACAAGTAAAAGTGTACATTTGTGCCATGTTCACTATCTGCAAGATCGTCGATGGGTATATGATGGGTATATGAAGGGTACAGTAACTAATAGATGGCACATAGGATATAACCCCATAAGAAAACCAGTGAGCAAAGGAACATAAAGATGGCACATGGGAGGAGAGATTACAGGAAAATCCATGGGAGCAGTGGAACATAAAGATGGCACATGGGAGGGGGGGGGGGACAGGAAACATGGGCTGTCATGATCTGCAGAGAACAATCATGAAAGACAATGCAAGCACATAAACCGTGCCGGTATATCAATGAAAGGTGCAGGGAAGGACAAGGCAGGAAGCAAAGCAGGAAGGACAGCCAAGGAAGAAAAAGAACATGAAACAGTGATCAGTACTATAGCCAAAGAATGGAACACATGGAAAACAATGGCCGTTTCATTTTGTGCTTCAAGTTGTGGGAGGCTTCGCGGGGGGTGTGACGGGGGCACACTAAGATGGCACATGGAGGGAGGTTGTAGGACAGGCGGTCTGAAATGAACGGTATAGTATATATGAGGGGAGCAGTGGACCACAAAGATGGCACATGCCAGGTGATCATGGGGAAAGGAAACAAATGAAAAAAAGAGATGATACTGTAGCAGGTTTAAAGGACAAAGGAATCAGAATAGAGGAAAGAGCAAGGCAAGGAAAAGAAGAAAGGGGCGGTAGAGAATAAGAGACAAAGGAAAGAGGAAGAGAGAAGCAGAAGGGGAATGGACAGAGCTATAGCATGCAATTTTGAGGACCTGCGATGTTGCATCTAGGGAGCCCTCATGCCGTTTGTACAGACCAGGTTGAACACAGATGCCAGGGGAAAGGGGAGAAACAATTGCTGCTATGTGCCAACTTTAATCCTTGGCTTGTGTCTTCATGTCTTCGAAGGATGATCATGATGATAATGATGCTAAGATGGCACACGCGGGTTTGGTAGGAAAGATCATTTCATATACCCAGGCACATTAAGATGGCACATGTGGGGGGGTTTGCTGGGCACTGTAAGATGGCACATCGGGCTCAGGCATCAGTGGATGAGAAATCATGGCAATCAACCATGTGTTGGCAGAAAACCTGCATATTTTGCAGGTTTTGGTTTTGCAAGGCATCGACGATTTTTTTGATCAATATGCCATCTACTTTCACCTGTTTCCATGTGCCATCTTGCAGTGAATCCCTATACTACAAAAAGAAAGGAAACACATTTTCCCAGCTCTGTCACGTATACAGTTGATAAACCCAAAATCACTAGGGCCCCCTGGCTGCACCCTACCCCAGTCCCAGTCCGAACCGAAAAAGAAGGGTGGCGGCGGCCAGGAACCCTCAGGAACCCTAGGGAATGGAATGGAATGGATTTCTCTGAGTCATCTGAGTCACAGTCTGCTGGTTCTTCTGGACCTTTGACTCCCGAGGTCCGAATCTCACTCCGTGGACGAAGCTCATTACTTTAATGATGGCATGGCATAATACAATTTAATTAATGGGTTTCTTTATTTTCAATTGCCATGCTCTTTATTTTCAATTGCCATGCCATTAATGTTAAGATCTCTTTGGTACGCCGGCACACGAATTTAAAAAAATGCATATTCATGAATTATTTTTAGTGAGTTGATCTGTTCCTGAAGGTGAACTAGCCGATAACCTGCCAGGATTTTTAATCCTGAATTAAACCTGGCATCATTGTAATATAGGTAATAATATAATATTAGAATGAACGATTTTTCCAAGAACCCAAAGGAAGGAAAGGAAAAATCGACTATTATTATTTATTATTCGCATTTTATTATATGAAAATCTCTTAAACATAAAATGCGAATAGGAAGAAGACAATTCTTATAGAATTACTTTTATTTTATGGGAATTAAGATAACTTAAGTGATCATCATATTAAATTAGTTCAATGGCAACCTCTACTGTATATTATTTTATTGAGGTTGCCCTTATTATATTATTATTGTTGTGGGATTTTCATTAATAGAAAAGGTAAGAAATATATAAGAAAATCACACATTAAATATTAAAGATGAAAATACGATAAATATAATCATTAATGTATAAGATATAGATGTGGCAGCCGATTAATAATTCATTGATTTTCATTACGATAAGTCAATAGGCTGCCACCATAAATAATATAATATAATTAGATAATAGTGATCACCACTAAATTGCATAGAAAATCTCTTATTAGTAATAACTTAATGGTGATTGTCTCTAATTCATGCTTTAATTTATAATAGCATGAAAGTCATCGGTAAGTTCACTTATAGTAAAATTGGTGGCCATAAATTCATTTCTTATCTTCTTTAAATATTTTGGGCCACATATTAAGATAATAATAGAATAAGAGCAACCGATATAAATGAAAAGGTTGCAATATTAATAATCCATCACTCGCATTATAATAGCTTTCACTCGCATTATAATAGCTTAGAAATCTCTATATATAATTAAAATGCGAGGGCAAAATGCAACAGAAAAACCATAAATTACTTAAGGCATTTGCCAAGACATAATATTCATTGATTATTGTGATCGCTCATTCATAATATATTTCCCATCTTATAGCGATCATCCATATTATTTCTTATTTTCTTTATTGATAGGCAGGATTTTATTATGAGAGAAATTCCAGTAGATAAAATCCTGCATTCTATATTATAATATATCATTCGGCCATCATTATTAATATTATAGGAGATGGCCGATAGCATAAAGAAATAAATAGCCATAGCGGTGGAAGATAATAATAGACAAATATTCGCCCATTCATATTTCTATGGGCGAATAACAATAAAAATATAATATGGATGATTCACCATTAAATAAAAGACATAAAATAAAATATAATATGGTGAATCATCAATCTATCAATATATTTCTTTATCTTTAGGGAGCACATTTAATAAAGTTATTCTCAAATTCATAATGTGCTCCCAATATTAAGAGATTACCAATGGCTTTTATCTTTAGGGAATTTCTTTATGGCTTTTAAGTCATGAAAAGTAAACCATCATTATAATATTTTATCTTTATCATGAATTTTAATGGTAATGAAATTCATGAAGATATTAATCTATTTTATTTATTCATTCCTTATCATTATATGGTCACCCGTCATTTTAACTTATATCTTATTAATGTTGTTCACCGTCTATTTCTACAAATGAAGGGTCTATTTTTCCTGATCTGTTTCCAGGTTTCTTCATTAATAATTAATGGTTTTTATTTATTAACCAATGGCATTTTCTTATTGCTAATTCTCTATTTTTTTGCCATTTAATTAGCAGATTTTAAAAATAAAAATGCCATTGGATAAAAGACATAAAGACACAGATTTGTCCATGAATTAATATCTGTCCCTTTGTCTTACTTAATGTCGTAAGTTGTCTTTATGAGATTGTTCACCCTCGATTTCCTATTCGTTCCCAACATTAAAAGTATAAAGAGACCATTAATTTTAATGTTGTTCATTCATGTTTTTTCTTTTATTACCTTTATAATCCTAAAGGATGAGGAAATCTTTAATTCATGAGAGATTTCCGGTCAACTGCTAGTCCTATATTTTAATCATGGTATTTGCTATTTATTTTAAGATTCAAATGAGCGTATGAAGGATATGAAAGCAAAGCTAAATAAATAGCAAATACATATATTTCTTATTCATGATGGCAGAACTTTCCATTAAAAGAGCTCATATAATAAAATTCTGCCTATCTTTCATTTATTATCATATGGGCAGGTTATTAATTTCTTCTCCTAAGATATTTTCGTATTGCCGTTCCACCTGCCCACAAGTAAGAAAGAATTATAAAAGACAAATATCTATTCATGGATTTTATTGGGAACGGTTCGGATGCGCGAGCCGGAGATGTTGCACCCTTCACTGCCATGAGCGTAGACCCGGTGGGAAAAGACCGGACCCTGAAAACCACGGGTGCAGCTAGAGATCATCAGAAAATTATTCTTAACGTAAGTTTAATGTAGAATCTTGATTAACACGCGATATGAAGAGGTTTTACAATCTAACCAGGGCGGTTCTGAATCAACAGTCTACATCAACTCATCAGGCTGAATCTTGAGCATCACTTACTTGCAAGCTGGATCCCTCTGGCTCCCATGTAGATCAAAGCACACATAAATCCTTCCCGCCTGACCCAGCCAAGCTTCAACACCCCACACCACATGTCACGCGCCACACATGTCACATATCACAACTTCCGCCGCACTTCGCTTCGAACGGTCACCGAACTTCACCGAACCCAGACCATCCATGGGACTGGAATCGTTGCCTACATTGGGGTCATTTTCATAGATTGTCATGGGGGTTACATGGAGGTCTAACTATTCCAGTCCCATGTGGTCCGATCTGGGTCACATCATCGTCAGTTCGTCGCTTCATTGGCCTGTGGGGCACCAAAGCTCCGCAGACTCTCCCGTGCAGGGCTGGGCACAGGTGGCGGTGCAGCTGCGCCCAGAGGCGACTTCCGCACCTTGTCGGGCCACCGGCGACGGCACCAGTGACGAAAGGAGAAGTGCGGGACCCCTGTGCCGTGTGGTTTTCTTATGGTATTTGTTTTGTTTTTTGGCTATGAGGTTCGAACATCTGGGATGTTGGGGAAAGAAAACAGGAAATGAACCGGGGTGTGAACATTGGTGGGTTCTGGTGAGGCTAAGCCAAAATTGTGAAATTTTGTGAAAGTTCGGCTTTTTTGGGCCTCAACTGGTTCCAAATGGTTCGTTCAATTGGATGGAACACAACCAATGCTCAGCTGGTTGGAGACATGGTTTGGCCCAAACCGTTTGGGCGATGTCTTAGACATCGTGATGCCGTGCTCCGCAATGTGCGCCAAAAAACATCCCTTGATGCGACCGCTTCAAGCCGCATTGTCCACAATACCGCTGAGCCCCTGATGCCGGAGCTCTAGAATTTGGTTCTGCTGAGATACCCTGGCTCAAGATTCTCGAACGAGCTTTGCATCGTTTACCTTGGATTGGAAGCTACGCAAGGATTGCGTGGCGCTGCTTTTTCTTCCGGGCGCTCGCCGCGCCGAGTCAAAGTTCATGAGCGCACTCTGAACCTCGAATCGTGTCGTTGCAGTCCGCTATTCTTCTAAGTCAGCTTCCATCAAGCGAGCAACAAATCTTAACGGCTCAGTGCACAGCACGCTCTCCTGTTGGAGATGATTGCGATGCGCTTGGCCACCTCCCCACAGAGCTCCTGAGTTCGTGGGGGGCGTCATGGCGTAGGCGCGTATTGGAATGACTGAAATGCATGCGGATGAGCCCCCCACACAGTGGTCGTCTGGATCCGGACAGAAGCATATAGGGGGGTTGTTGCCGCGGCCCTGCTTCTGGCTCCCAGCCGTCGTTGTCCTCGTCTACCTGGCTCAACAGCGACAGACATTAGCAATAGATTTCTGGTTGTGGCCTCTGCCTCCTCCACAGCTGGGCCCTGGCTGGTTTCGTTTTCGAAGAATTCCGAGTGTTCTAAGCTCTACACCCTAGAAGTCTGTAATGTCTCCTCGCTCTCGTCAGGCTCCGTTGCCCCCTCCGAACCATCTTCTGCGAGGACCTGCCAAACTTGACGAGACGCGCTGAAGCTGTTGAATTTCTTTCAGCGCTTAAACTTCTTTCAGCAAGATTTACGTATATGGTTGGTTTCCAAAATGTCCTTTTCCAAAACGGTGCACTCGTCGCAATTCCATGGGGGAATCAAGAGCCTCAAAACTAGACGCCATGCCGCGCCTGATATTGTCGGCGCTCATCATCCTGAGTTTGAAGTACGTGAGGTTGAAGATCTCGATTGTCGCCGTCGCTTTCATCCATGTCGCTTTAGCCAGCAACCAGCCTTGCGGGTGTAAGGTTCGAACCAACGACATTTTGCCACGCTAACCACGTCAGAGCGCTGCGCCTCACCGCGCTTCTCTTGAGCAGCGCCATGGCGTTTTTGAGGATGTGGGAGGTAGAAGGACGATATATTGAGTGCATCTGAACCATGCAGATCTTATGCTCTTTGTTTACATGCAATACTGGTTCTCACTTGGAACTGAAGCCAAAAAGTTTCACTTGCGAGATATGATCGGAACTTGATTCCCTATGCTTTTCTGGCACTGGAGAGTCCACGTTTTCTTGATGATCCTAAGAAAGCACAACTCACACCCAAGGTCACGGCGGTCTTTTTGAGCGGTCCCCGCGCTCTGCAAAATTGCCATAGGCATAGAATGAGAGTGCCTGGGAATCAGGGGCCCAATCATTCGATACATACCGCTGCCCTTGCAATGTGTTTTTTCACAACAGTCTGGCTCTCGCACCCAGGCCATCTGGATGCCGTCTCATCGAATTCATAAAGCGACACCCAAGTGGTGTGCTACCATTATCAGGTTCCCGTATCCGCTCGGGAGTACCTGTGCATGCCACAACCCACCACATGCTGGCTTGCCAAGCTAGTCTTCACACTAACCAGCTCTCGCTCGCAGGCCTCACAAAGTGACATCCAAAACGTTCCTACATGGCCCCACGGCTGAAAGACCAGTTCAAATCAGATCCTTCCAACCTGGCGACCAATCGCTTGATCCACTCCTGTAGCCAAACGCCTGAATTCAAATTGCTTCGTGAAAAGCTCCACGACTGTACACCATTCAAATTGTCGGGCCGCAAACCTCACCGCAAATGGCTTGATCCAACTCTCAACAAATGGAGAACAAAATGTATCCATCCGTGTATGACCAATAATTTCCTCTCCGTCCAGACCACTTTGCGATAAGGGAGTACTGGCTGCTTGTCGAAAACGATCATGATAAGCGTGCTCCGAAACTGGCTTCTAGATCTTGCGTGGAGTTGCTATCACCACCGCTTGCCCTTCTGGCCCTTCCCAATCCATGCCAGCTGAACCTCCGACAGGTTCTGAAATCCGCGAATGGCCTCCCTCATGGCCCGCTCATTTTGGATTTGGCGTCCTGCTCGATTGCGAGGTCGAGTGCGGCCTTGATTGTACCTGAGCCAGGCCACCCAAATCGGCATATGAAGAGCAGGCGCAAAGCATACGTGAAGCAAGCACTAGTTGAAACAATATGGGATTCGGTACCCTCACAAACACAAACGATAGTTGCAGTATTTGCCCTAATCATCAAACAATCTGATTGACCATATAGACAAAGATAGCCATGGAACACGCCATCAGCCGTGACGAAGCCTCCAGCCACGTAGCGGCCCTCTTGGCCCTTCCGGCCCTCCAACGGCGGGAGCTCGGACGGCGGGAGCTCGGGCTCCGCTGGGCGAGTCCTGCTCGGGTCGATCTCGCTCTGCCACCATCATAGCCTGGGAGCAAAGGCAGAGCAGCATCCCTTACAGTCTGACCACTTGCAGGAACTTGCAGGCCATTTACTGCGGCTTGTCGGTTGCCCAGGTCCAAAGTAATCCCGCCAAAGCGTTCTGTCTTGCGGGTCACTCGCTCAGCATGTACCCGGGGATGGATCAACATAGCCTCAACATAGCTCCAAGATGGTCGTTTTCCAAGGCCCCTGGTGCGAGATATGCTGCCCGAGTTGCCTTGCAGTACTACCTGCTGCCCTGGATAGATACCTTTTCCTGGCCATGTTGCAGAAAGCTTTCTTTTATGACTTTTTCATCAAAATTACGTCCATGTACGGTGCTTTACGTCCATATGTGTGGGCCTACGGTTTTTCACGTCCATGAACGGTATTTCACGTCCATGGCTTTTAATCTAATATGTATAGTATTTCATGCTTTTAGATATATCGCTCTTGATCCAAAGAATGTCTATAGGTCCATCATTCTCCATTACGTTTCCTGTACCACAGGTTCTATAAGGACAAGCGGTGGCCAATAAAACAAAGCATCCAACTCTATACCTCCTGCCCTCCAATTCCCAGTCCCAGCTCCAGCATCCTTTGGCTTTTTAGCTGCGAGCCCATGCAATTTGGATGTACGCCAAGTACCTTTGTAATGTCCTCAATGAGATCAATTTTGGCGATACACATCGCGTCACGGCCGCAGCGCGGCCTATAGCATCTTCATCGAGTGCACACGAATGAACGGCTGGATTAAAAGTATAGCTTGCAATCCCTGCTTGTCGCTTCATCTCAAACGCCACTTCGTGGAGAAAGTGAAGCTTTGGCAGCAACGGAAAGTGCTTCAAACCCTTTGAGCAAGCGTGATGCGCTTGATACATATACGCTCGGAGAAAGGTGTAGAGCGCATTGCTTAAAGCAAGAGCGGTAGAACTCGGCATCCATACGTCGTTGCCGTAAATGCCTCGAAAGAACTGGTTCGCCTTCCTCGTTCCATACGCCTCATTCTTTTCACACGTTCATTATACAGAGCAAGCAAGGGGTCTCTATAGACGAATCCCTGAAACAGTGCTTGGGGTCAAGTAAAAAGTTCTGAACAACGAACAATTTGAACAACAAAAGCCAGCGCACAAAATTGAATCTAGGGACAAAGATTCGTAGGGGTTGATCTTTCTCTATAGCTGAAGAGTGTTGCATGCAAAAGTCCTCGAGAAACATCATGAAATTGCTAGTAACAGCAGCCTTGTTCCATGTCCCGTTGGGCTCCGCAGTCCCTCCAAACGTGTGAAGATCCACCCGCCGAATCACCGGGTCAAGCTTCTCTCTTTTGCAAAAAGCTCTGTAACCAGCGGCCAAGGAAGCAATCCTCTCACCAATCGTGCTCTCAGGTAGCAAGGTCTGAAGCATCATGACCCCGGATGCAACCCAAGCCTTCCCGATTCCAAGATGCATCACGTGCCACGGGTCAATAACATGAAACCTGCATTTGCCATTGACACTGCCATCGACCAAAAGTCGTCTTGTCAGGGCACATTCCCTGTCCCAAGGAACAGGCAATTCACGATGAAAAGATTCTTCCATAGCCGCTTCAGCGGCTTTCCTGAGAAAACACATGTCTTGGGTGGGACACCCGCCACTATACATATAGTTTGTGGAAGTGCATGGCTTGAAGGAATCACGCACTGCACTATACCATGTGCAGAAACCAAATCAAACACACAAAAACAGTCTTGATGCAAAGGATAGAAACAGGTCTTCCCAGTCAATTCCTTGTCCACATTCACAAAGATGGCAAATCCCGCCACCCTCCACTCCTTGATCACCAGCAGTGCCAGCTCCTTTCGGAGCCCGTCTATACGATCGCAGAAGGTTTGCGCTCGACACCTTTGCTACACTATGCCGTCCCAAAGTAGATGTAACACAGAAATATGAATTCGTGCCATTAACAAAACATAGCACGCCCCAAAAAACACTTCCGAACTTCCAACCAAAAGAATATATACTGTATATAGGTCAAGTCGCCAAGTAGCTCCAGTCACCCTTGTTCCCAAGGAAGATCGGCCAGAATGTTCCACCAACGGCGGCGTTTATGCCATTCCTCTCAATGACCTCGAGGTCTTTGGCCAGATTCTCAAAAAGACAGTTCCAGACCCTTCTGTCATCGGCATACATGTCCTGCATAGGGCCAACAAATGCCATATAAATAGAAAGCCTTGCCCTTCTAACAAACAATTTAACCCATTAAAACTCAGCAACATTGACCCCATATACTCCTTCGGGATCACGTAGATCAACATACGTGTTTGGAATCCAGTCTTGAGGAAATTCAGTGGAATACCTTCTCCCATGGCCCGGTAGTTTTCTTCCATCTCTCTACCCCGTTTGGATGAACCCCAGCCAAAGGCACCTTGAAATGACACCACCAAAACTCCACCCTTCTTGTAGGTGACACCCTCGTCCCCGTGCAGAAACAAAGGTATACATTTGTGAATGTCTTTCTTCTTGGAGTCCACGTCGGCCCACAACTGGTGTTCAGGGCAAATTGCTCGAAACTTTGACCAGAAGCTGGCCAGCTTATCCTTGGCCTCGTCAAGTGAGTAGCCTCCAAGAACGTGGCTAAGGTCATTCATCTTGGCCATTGCCCCCAAAAAGTCTGAGGGTCGAATCCATGGGACACCCAATAGTGGAGGTGCTTCTTCAGTGCTAATGTTCACTGGGTAATATAGATTGTTCAGCCGGAAGACCTCGTGAACTGCATCTTCCTCAGCTGAAGGGGTTGCATACACCGTCTGCTCTGGAGATGTTATACAAGGCCCCCCACAAACAAAGATTTGCATTTGGCACGCATAACCCGTGTATACAGGGTTGTGAACTATCATGGACATCAAAAAAATATAAAAGAAGAGTTGAAGGATTCTGCAACTCACTCAGATCAGGTGTCCGCCTTTTTTGAGTGGGCTGTCGCAAGAGCCGAGAGGACTGGACACACCCTGGACGAGTAGGCACCTGCTTTCACATCTCGCATGTCCGCCGCCGCAAAGTTGATGATCTCGCAGCATTTCTCCTGAGATTGTTCACATGATGGCATGCTTGATCGTGCGATTTTTTAAGAGACACAAGTCAACAGTATAGGTGTATACGCCTGTGTAAAGACTGATGCAACAATTGAACACGCAATACGGCACAGTATATCATTCTATTTCACGGATAACAATTGAACATTTGTATTTCATATAGAAGTTCTGATGCCAAGTCGCTCCCCTGCTATATTTCCATGCAAGCTGTCGAGCTTTCTGTGAGGGGCCTGGCAATCCAGATCGGTTTGGGAGGGATGTGAAAAGGTTGATCCGCCCGCTTCGAGAAGTCGATCCGTGTTCTGGTGACAGGCGATAGTTTTTTCTCGATCACTGCATGTGCTGTGGTAGTCCACACAGCGCACACACCCATCTTCTCACATAATCCCCAGAGCAGCAAATTTCTCAGCCATGCCCTTTGACATGGTAAAACCCCATGCTCCAGAAGCCAGCAGGTTATCCCGCACATATATAGCAAACTCCATTCAAAAAGGAAAACATTGGTGATGGACAGATATAGGCATCTTCAGTAAAAACAATGGTGGTATATTTAGGTTTCTTCAATTTACATCCATGTTTAAACCCTGCAACATCAAGTCCAACATCGGTGCTCAGGCACGGCGGGGCTTCTTCTTAGCTTTGGCAGGAGCGGAGGGCTGCGAATGGGATGGGGGATTCTCTGCTTGAGTCTTTGACCCACTCCCCTTGGGCTTCTTTGTCTTCTTAGACTTGGAAGTTGTTTTTTCTGTCTTGGCACGGCCTTTGGCCTTGCCGCCCGGCCTACCCTTTCCCTTTTTACTACCCTTAGTATTCTTGGCGCTGTCAAGCTTCAGGTCTTTGGCAAGTTGCCTGCAACAGCAGGCAGTGTATATCTAGATCGTGGGGGGAGAGCACACACTCTCATTAGCAACAATTGTTCGTAGCAATGGCCTGAACCGGGCTTCCAATGGGATCAAGGTTGTGCACCTGATCCATGGTCCATGGTGCACTATAGCACTATATATAGACCAAAAAATGAAATTAGCAAAGATAAATAGTTGACACTGTTTGGCAAGAAGATGAAACACATTCAGCTTGTAGCACGTTTTTTGAAGTCAAGCAGCTGCTTCCTCACATCGTTCTTCTCCTCGGCTATGTCCTTGAGAAGCCTTGGCTGGATGCACATCAAGGGTGTATACATTCTGGTAAACGGTAAACGTATAGATCCCAAACTTAGGAGGCACTTTGAATATATATGTACCCTGAGCTCATTTTTCTCGTGCAGGCACTGTTCCCTAGCGTGGTGGTACCCGGAAGGAGCGGAACACGAGATACACCATAAATGGTCCCGTCTCGTCGGACTTGATGCTTTCACCTCCATCCCGAATGTTCCTGCAACCCGGCTCTCCTCAGAACGCGAAGAAAACTATACGTTCAGCAAACGGCATGCACTGCTAGGCGAAAACATCTATATAGTCTATATAAAGCAAAAGGTCATATTTGACATGGAACCAAGTGTCCTTTATGGCGTTGTATAAGTGCACCCTCAACAAACGCAGGAGAAATAGCTTCGCTGGCACAATAGATGACTACCATCTTCTCCCACTTGTCACAATCATATTTGTAACCAAACTTGGGGTTGTTCCATCTGAAGGAAGGACAGTGGGTGTACCCCACCTTGAAAATGCAAGGTTTGTGCATTCGTAGGTACTTGTCCATGGTTTCACAACAGTGTTTCATGATTTGCCCAGCTAGCAAGCCAGCCTTTTTGGGCAAATCGTAATCCAGATGGACATCCATTTCAATTTGTTCAAAGCAGACCTGGGTCCTTGCTAGTGACTTCGTTGCACTATCCAGGACATCTCTCCAATCATAACGACGGCGATGGCGGTGATGGAGGCCGACCGATGAAATCCGACACTGAGGGGACGATGGAGGTTTTTGATCAACAGCGTAGGCCTGGCGAAGGCCATTCAAAACACATGGAACTGCAAACCATGTTGCACCCAATTTGATATTCCATTCACTTTAGAACAATGGTGCCTCCCGGTTGTATTGGATAAGTTCGCAAAGCCATTCTTCAGCTTCATCATGACGATGGTCAGAACCCATGTAGGTCAGGCCGAATCCATACCCAGCGAGCCAAACAAAACCCCCGTTTGGCTGAGATATAGCAAAAAGCAAAAAAGGGTGCAACGATTGTGAACGCGTACCGTGCACAAACAGTTACACTCAAGGCAACTCCATGCTTGACATTGCTTGATATATATGCACCAAGCAACTCCGTCAAACGGTCGCTTGGAAGTTTACCCTCCCGGTGGTCCATCTTGAGCTCGGTGATGTGAGCAGAAAACTTACTGTAGCTCTCTGACATACGCGTGGCGAGTGGCGTCAAGGAAGCATGCAACCTGAGAAGAACCGAGTATAGGGGGTATTTAGGATCGAAGTTAACGTATCCAGCAACATTGAACCAGAAGGCATGTGTGAAGTCTTTTTCAATCAAAAGGCTTCTTTGCCCCATCATCGGTTTGTCCCTGAAGACTCTTGACCATCTTCTCAACAGATTGCTGCTTTCTCTCCAAGGACTGCATATAGGATTCCAGATCAGCCACGGGCTGGCCAGGGCATGTCATTACACAGTTGTACATGGGTGCAACTATCTAGAGTATATATGTTTCTTGCCCAGACCCACACATGTGAAGATCTACATAACCCCGTCCTTCGATCCAACCACCTCTGGACCTGGCACTGGATCTGGGATGTTCACATGGTTGTCAGGAAGGCCAGATGGAGGCTTCTTCAAGAACTTGTCCTGATCGAGGCAACGCTGGGCAATCGTGTTTGGGATATGCAAGTGGTTTATGTTTTGGTCATGCAGATCGAAATCAGGCATAGGATCGTCTTTGTCAACACATCAAACCACATGCAACTGAAAGTGATGGACACCTTCGATTATGTAATCAATCCAAGATTCACCAAGATCGGTTTCCTCAGTGTGGATTGTCGTGTCGCTCTTCTTGAGCAGCGTGGTGTCATCTACAATCACATAGTATTCATTGATCTGTTCATTATACTGCCACGGCCTGCGCAAGCGGCGAAATGAATGCCATGTTTTAAAACTTGGGTGGAACTTGCATCAACATAAAGTTGGACCTTTGAGGTACCATGGTGAAAAAAAGAAGCCTCAGCGATAACTTTTTTTTTGTATGCTTGCCATCCAGATCCCTATAGCCTCACCAAGCTCTCTGGGAATCGCTTGCAATAGGCGATGATATGCTTCATCGCGCTTGCCGAAAACAAACCAGACCTTTTCATGGCCTCTTCTGTCATCCACTTACCGTGGGTTTCACACTCACGGGATTCAAGCCGTTCCCTGATCAGCTTGCACTTCTGCTGGAAGTCGCTCTGCACAGGTCCGTTGCGCGCGCAAAGGATACGATGCATGTCACAAAACAGCAAAAACTCAACATGCATGATCGATGGAACGAGTAAAGCATGCATATATGCTTGCCTTAATCTTCTTATAGGCATGCCGGCCGATGCCGTGCTTTGCCAAACACTCCAACAATGCCATCTCCAAGACTTCCCTAGCTTCTCCCCCTTCTTTGTACTGTTGGGCCACGGAAGGATCCACAGCACAGCGCCCACTGGGCTTCTTTTCACAAAGCCTTCTCGTGCGCATGCGTAGAGCATCTGTGGAGATTTTTACCTTAAGTTTGAGGACTGATTCTCCTGGGCCCCTGAGGCTGAATGTGAAATCACTCACCATGCAACAAAACCAAATCGTTTGATCAGCACTTGTAGAAAAACTATATGAAGTCAAAGGGGCATTCTGTCCAGAAGGTGTCGTGATACCCTCATCATCGGATTCCGCACCTTCATCACAGCTCTCATCTGGCTCTTCGGCTTCAGATGCTGGTGCAGGTGTTGGTACTACCTTCTCAACAGGTTTGGGTTCAGGTGGCTTCTCGCCTACACTCTTCACCTGGTTCTCAAGCTCAGTGACACGGGACAAGGTCTTCTGGAGAAGCTGTTCAAGATTCGATGACTTCTTTTCTTCGGCATCCTGCTGTTTCGCCTGGCACCGTGCCTCCAGTTCAGCGATCCTATTCAGCAAATCTAGATTTTTCTTCTTCTCAACTTCCACCATGTCAGCTGCCACCTGCCCATTTGTGGTTGGTGTATGTGCTGAAGGCAAAACAGGTAATACGGTAAATCGCAACTATATCACAACTCCTTTCAACTATATTTATATACCGTATATATAACCTTTGATTTGGACACAATGGCTGTCAATCTGTTGCATGGCCGTCGTACCGCGAACATGCCTGTGTTGAAATCAGCTCGAAAGAAGCGGGAGGATTCACTGCACGTTCGCTCGGAGTTGGTTTGGGTGATTGAATCTCCTGAGACAAGGGATCGTCTCCAACACTTGTATATGGAATTATATATACATGAAAGCATTCTTCAAGCCAAGAAACCCCTGGAACTGTATCCGCTGTAGGAGAAGCCATCATTTGGTGCATTGGGGATGGCATCGTGCTCGAAGCAGGAGCCTTATATATATATATATAATAGGATCGGGATCAACTGTTCGCAACATGGGGGCTACAAGTACAATGTTTTAGAAGCGGCCCTTCCCCCTTCTCTGGTCCAAGAAACTTGCACCGGCGGTGGTGTCGGTGCTGTCTTCGGGGAGGCAGGCTCCTTCTTCACCACGACGAGATTTTGGGCAGCAGCCTCAAATTCCGCTGGCCAGGGTGAATGCCGGGGCTTTGTGCTAGATGCTTTTGGTATACATCCTGCTATACTTTTGGGTTCATGGCTCGATCTCATCATCGTCAGTTGTGATCAACCTGCCTCGCAGGACTCCTATATACATGCTGCCAAAAGACCTGGTTTTTTTTCTGCATGACTTCCATCACGCATTTGGCCACCTGCAAAGAATCGGGCAGTTTGATCTAGCGACAAACCCACTGTTTCAGGTGTAATATTTTGGAATTAAACAGAACATGCATGTGGTGGTAATATGTGGGAACGGTTTCATATGAAAGAGGAAACATGGGACTGCACCCTGGCCTGTTCAAGATCTGCAGGCTGCAAGTTTAGGCCGGAAAGGGCAGCTGCTGCTTTCACACCCCCCTCTAGGGTGTCGCAGCTCCACCCATGTGAAGGCAAAGATGTGACCATGGAATCTCGTGACATGATCGTGCCAGCTAATCCCACCCACTGCAACTATATAGATTGCTGCACGAATATATATGAGCACAAGCTAGCATCTCTACAGTCTCTACACATGCATTGCGACAGGTCCTTGGTATATGCTGTACTCACACAGTAATTTTCCCTCGCCAAAAGTGGATCAAACCACGACCGTGCTTCCAAGAAGGTGCATGTGCAAATTTGTGTGGGGAACACTCCGTCTTTACCCGGGAAGCGCATGGAACCAAGAATTTCTAAAATATTTGGTCAGAAACTATATAGATTTTGATGAAAACAAGAGAGGTCTCAAACCACCCAAAAAAACCTTGTTTTTTTACGTAATTTTTACGTAATATTTGCGCAAGTCGAACGTAATCGAACGTTATTTGAACGTAATCTGAACGTAATCTGAACGTAATCCGAACGGTTTACGGTATTTCATGTCCACAGAACGGTTTTTCACGTCCATGTACGGATTCCAAAAAACTATACCAAAATGGTCGGCTCCACTTTCAAGATTGTTTTATAGGAAACACACACGTATACAAAAGAATGATTGAACATCTATATAGGTTTCCATGCCCACTAGTGTGGTTTTGTTGGAGGATGTCGAGGGTCCCTATGTTGTTTGTAGTGTGCCCGGCTTGGAGTGTTCTTGCACCACCTCAAAGTCAAAATTCAATCAGACCCATTGGTCTGGATTTCAGCGGCAACCCTTTGTTCCATCCTGTGCAGGATTTCCAGAGCACGTGGGAAGACTTGTAACCAATTTTCAGGAACCTCCAGGTGCTTGTTTCCCCGTAAGTATTTCAAAGGGGCAAGCAGCTTTGCTTCCTCCCAGGTGCTCCATGGCAATCCTGCAAAGACTTTTTGTGGACTTTGAGTCACATCCACAATAGGTATGCCCTCAGCGCCCGTCACGAGTCCAGGGTACAAATTCCGAATATGGTCAGCAAAAGGCTGGGGATATGTCCTTGGAATGAGAAGAAGAGGTTTGCCAAACATCAATCCACATGTGAACCAGTTAAGCATCCATGCATGACTTGGGAACAAAGCAAATGAGGTCGGGGCTGTGTTCCTTTGAGGGCAGGAGTACCGGTGTAGTGGACCTTCCCCGAAGACTTGCTGACCGTTTTCTTGACAGTTTGGACCTTGGCCTTGGCTTTGGAATTGGGACCACGGCGGTACGGCCCCTGGTCCAAATAGTCGAATTTCTTGTTGTTACACCACCCGCGCTGCGGCTTCTCCGAGGATGCATCGTAGTGCCCCATGTACCAGCGGATGGCATATACCTTGGCTCGGCGGCCCAATCGGCGAGGCCGATTAGATAATATAGGAGATCAAATTAAGGGATCACATGGAAGTGGTCACGAGAAACGACCTCATCGCAGTTTTTTGGAACTAAGCCTTTTCATTGAAAGGGTTTGGGACTCTTGAAATCTCCCCACGTTTGGGTGCAAAGCCAATCCAGGACATCAAAAGAGATTTGAGAGGACAATATACAGGAACATATATATAAGACAAGTAGCTTTGACTTGCTGGCACAACCACTGCATCCTAAAGTATTCACCCATTACGCTTGAACGAGGCTGCTCCAGCATGAATGACCCACCACAAGCCACTGTCAAGGCCAAAAGGAGTACACACCTGAGTTCATGTTGCACGGTGTATAGTATGGCACATGATGGTACATCATCAACAAAATGTTGAATAACAAACACCAAAACTGGATAAACTATTGTTGCATATACAAAGCTGGTTTTGTTTTGGTCAAGGATCCGGCTCATCATAGTATTGGCACACTCTACATAGCGTTTGCTTTGATCCCCCTCTGGACACAAGATACTCCGGCATGATGTAAAGCAGTTTATTTGAACCCAGCTTGAACAAACGACTGCCCACACTGATGCAAAGGCAGACTCACGGCAGCATAGGATGAGATGTATGTAAAGCCTTGGCTCACGCATACAGCTTGTCCCTATATACAATTAAAGACAAAGTGTGTTTCGTTTGAACTGCATTGTGCTTCCAGCATGAAAAGGACACAGCAAAACAGTTTGGGATAATTCGACAGGCTGAAACAATATCTGAAACTTATAAACAACGATCGAGGTGAAGAAGCCAACACCAATCAGCCAACTAGGGATGGAACCCCAATCCAGCATTTGTCAGGATGTCGAATGGATTTGAGCTCTCTTTGTTCCAGTATTCAATGTCGATACCAACCGCGCTTCTAGTGTCACCTCTGACCGCCTTCCATACCCGTCCCTGGCCGGCGAAGAATTCCAAGAAGGTCAGCTCCTGGCTGGAGCACAGCGCTGTGGATTTGGTGTGGGAGCTTGGAATAGTATGGAAGCACAAGGTTACACAAATCTGCTTGCAGTACCTTTCAAATCCTTTGGGGCCTCGATGAAAAGAATCTCAGAACATGTGTGCCACATACATGAGCTGGCTCCTCCGAGAATGATGGCATGTTCTTTGCAAATGCGACCAGGATCACCATGAAAATGAAGGGCTTAGCTGGCAGGAATATGACACCGGAATCGGAATATATGATCGACACCGTACCAGTTCCAAAGTAAATTGTCAGATGCACGAGACAAACACCAAAGGGTATAAATAACAAACCCTGCAGAGTTGGATAGTTGCTGTCATCAAGCTGTATAAAAGAATGAGAACTCAATTCTGCTTTGCGTTATAGGTTATAGGGTTACCCCAGCCAAGCCGCTTTGGGAACGTTCATGGCTGCCAAGCGCAGCACTACTTGTCCGATCTTCTCCCTTCCAGTCACCATGGCTGGGCAAGAGAAAAAAGTGGTTACAACAAGCGGACTCAAAAGAGACATGTATGTGTGTGGGTTTCCTGGAATGCATCCATGCATGTCCATATAAGGTGCAAGTCAAAAACTTCAAAGTTCTTCTTTGTTTATATATCCCTTTAGACTCTGTTGAACTTTGCAATCTTTCGCGATCACTTCAACCCTGCGGGACGTGTGCAAGCGGTTGCACGGCAAACAGCTTACATGACTGCTATGCACAGCCTCCCATGTTAATGGGAATCTTGTCTATAAGATCTAATCAGCCTGATCTTTTCTATGGTGACCCAGAATGAGTCCTATAGCCTATCATGTACATGAAGTCACCGCATCAAATGTGCTATAGTCATATCGCTTATATAGTTATTCTATCGTATATCTCTCAAAGATGATTTCGATCGATGGATTCATTCATTGATAAAACCATACCGATGTGCTTGCACAGTCTTCATGCATGCACATGTGCACTCTTCCCACTCTTGGTCTACAAGCGAGCCCAGGTAGCCTTGGAAAGGAGTCTTGCTCACCTGATGTCTCAAAGAATTCGCAAGGCCTTTGGTGACCTTCCTGACCTTCCGCCGAGGCATCGATCTCGCAGATGGTCTTGATCCTCAACGATGCACCTGGCATTGGACCAAAATAGAGGCCCAGCAAGCGGATGTTGGAGTTGGAAAGGAGGATGGCTTTAGGTTGTTATATAGATTCAGGGAGCTGAACCATTACCACTGTTTAGGAATGAATCAGAACCTCCAACTGGTGAAGCAAAGGTATATAAATTGAAACCATTCAGTATGTACGAGGGCCTATCAAAAGAATTGTATGCTCTTTTTGCAGCGTCCCATCACAGCGTCTGCCACAAGATCGATTTCTTCGATCCTCAAGGAGGGGCCTTCACTCTTTTGGTTCTAATTGGAAACGCTTGCAGCCCTCATATGCACTCAACGCAATTGCGCTCCCCGTTCCCGATACACTTCGATCGAACTTTGCAGAAGAGCTGAAATTGAAAGTCGCATGTATATATATATATATCAGTTGACTCACATGGAAGCTATACTTCCGTGCATCAGGTTCTATGGGGAACCACGTTGTCAACATACATAGGCTCTCCCCCAAAAAGACCGCTCATGGCAAGCATTCAGACAGAAAACTCAATGGTATAAATAACCAACATCTACAAGGTTTGGAGCACAGGTACACTGGCTATCGAGTCTGCTGGTTCACAGCCTGACATTGAGCGGTCAGCAACCTTGGAAATCAGTCACGGCGGCATCATGTGAGGCTTTCAGAACCTTCGAGAAGTGCAACATGTGCTCACCAAGAGGATCAGGCTTCTTCTGCTGGTCGAGCTCTGTTGCCTGGGTGTGGGACATGATTGACCATTAGCTGGGTTTATAGGGTGTGCATGAATGAAAAGAAACTGTCCACACACTCCACTCAAAGCTATATACAAAAAAAGAAATCAATCAAACAATAAACTGCAGAGCGACACCGCTACTCAAGAAATACCGACCGATCATGATCGATAATATAGCCCCCAACCCCCCCTTGTATGCACCCTCCCCTTCAGCGTGACTCTTTTGCAGCCTGGAAACCCAAAGGCCAGCGATGACAAGGTTTGTGTAGCAGCAGGTAGTCTTGCTGGAAAAATAGACGACCTGCGCTTTGCCCTTGCCCTTCGCTTTCTTGTTTGGCAAAAGATCCCTCTCCACCAGGACACCCGCAGCGTTCCGGGTCCAGTAGGGCTGGACATACGAGTGCTTCGCTTGGACTTTCTCAAAAGAAGGGTGCGTGCACTCGGATGCCTTGCACTCCTTCAGAGTCTGCAGTACCAAGTCGGAGACCGCAGCATCTTTCTCAATGCCTTCATTTGAGTCCCTTGAGGCCCTGGACCTCCTCACCTTTTTCTCAGGCTGCTCGCCTGGTGTTTTGGCAGCCCGCTTCTTGCTGCTGGATACGGGATTTGTCGAGCTCCCTTTCTTTTTGCCTGCCGTCTTGGCCTTTGACTGACTCTTGTTCTTCTTCGGTTCTTCCTTCTTTTGCTTCTTTGGCTTCCTATTCTTCTCAACCTTTGCGTCATCAACCGGCGGGTCATCAACCTCCTCTTCCTCGACTCTTGCTGCATCATTCTTCCTTTCCGTCTTGTCCTTGTCTCCCTCAATCCTGCCTTCTTCCACCTCCCCTCCGTGGACCTTCTGCTGCATCATCTCCGTTGGCTCCTCCTCCTCATCCCTTTCCCCAGATTGCTTCACAGTGGCAATTCCCTTGTTCTTCGTTGGCTTCTTGCTCAGTGTCTTGGTCTTTGCTGTTGACTCTTTTGGCACCGCCTTTTTCTGTTTCTTCTCCTTTGGCAGGTTCTCAGGTTCCTTCTTTTTGGAGCCATTCTCCTTCTTCTTGGCCGCTGAGTCATCGACTTCGGCCAAGTCCTCGTGAGATTTGTGCCAGGAAGACATTTTCTTAAGTCTTTTCATCTTTCGACTCCTCACTGCATCATTCTGTGAAGCTGATGCCGCCGCCTGTGGATCCGGCTCAGCATTCTTAGCTTTCCGCTGCTTCTTTTGCCGCTCCTTGGCTTTCTCCTTTGAATTGCGGCCTCTTTGTTTCAAAGCCTTGTCAGCCTTTTTCTTCTCAGCTGCCGCGGCTTTCTCAGCTTTTTTCTTGTCCTTCTCTTCTTTCTTTCTATCTTTCTCTTCTTTCTTATCTTGCTTCTTCTTCTTTTTTTGTTCAGCCAAATCCTTCTTCATGCGGAATTGCTTCCGCCTTGTCACAACTTCATGGTCTGGAATGATGACGTCATCAAGACCATTTTCCATCACCTTCAGGCTAAGCACCGGTTTAGTGTATAACAATCAATACACTCACCGACTGTTCTAGCTGGATATCAAAGCACTGTTGAGGTGTTGGCTAACTGCATGATCACATGGTTCGAAATAATCTTTTAACGCCCCGTACCTGATTCTCGACCTCCTGATCATGCTTCTCCACAGACCGCACGGTCTCCAAAGCCACGTCACTGTTCATAAGCTGGTTTGGGGAGCAGGGCAACTGCGTCTCATCATAGGGCCCAGCCGAAGGAAGCATGGAATCGGACAGCAGCAACATAGGGTCCATAAAGCTGGCTCGTTCCGGTTTAGGATCCAAGCCTAGGCCAACGTGAAATCCAATCAGAGTTGTATATTCAAAAAATATACTTTTGAATAACTTGAGCTGGAACAGACCCTATATACATTCAGTGCTTGCTTCCGCCATTGAAATGAACATATTTACTATAAACAGAATCGAGCAACGTGTCTCCTGATCCAAGCAGGCCTCAAAGCAACACTCCTTCACTGCATGGGCCTCACTGGTTGGACTAGTCGCCTTTTCCACAGGTTTCCTTAGGGGCACGAGTCACGCGAGTACAATTTGGCAATCCAATATTTTCTACATAGGCCCTTTATCCGAATCCTTTTTGGAGTATATTGCTAGATCATTCTTCAGACCTGTTTCGGATATATAGTGGGCTCCAATTGCAGCAAACAGGAAAGCATTCTGTGCATGTTTCAATTATAACCAAATCACAAAGAGAAACGATCTTGGAGGACTTGCATGATGACGGACTCAATGCTAGTCGGTAAAGCAAAGGGTGCAGCAGGCTTGTCTGGCATTCCTTCATCGTCAGAAATGTCCACAACAATCTCCTGGCGGCAGGGAATACAAGAAACATGATCAACCCACAATTTGGTTGGGTTGAATAAACATGCATGAGGAACCCGCCCTATATACGTTGTTTGACTTGAGTTTTCTATATCAGGTTTATATATAGTGTCAAATGTTCAACTGGCATGCACTTGAACCCTGAATTCCCACCACCCTCCTTCGATGCTTTTCCATGACCAGTGCAGGGGAGTTGAGGCATTTCTGTTGGAGTAGACTGCGAACGGCACGGGGTAGGCAATTTCATAGTTGCCTCCACCTGGTCCAGTTTGGAGCCATTCTCCCCACCACTGGATGCTTGGCCAGGCACTGGTGCAGGATGCGCATCCTCTCCATCAGCAGCGCGGTCCCTCGGAGGACTTGGGAGTTGAGGCATGGATGGCGGTGGTAAAGGCACTTCAGGAAGCTCTTTCTCCAAACTGTCCATGATGGAGTCGAGCTGTTCCTCAACATCTTGGGTGTCTGGGAACTCCAACCTTTGACTGAGGATTGCCTCTTCTTGTGGTTGGCTGTCATGATCACCATCATGTGGGCACAAGTTTGAGTCACGTGAAGTCAGTGGACGCCAATCCTGAGGGTCAATGGGATTGGAGTTGGCTTGAAACTCCAGTGCGATTAAGCTCTATCCCATATATCAATTCTGTGCACACATTTTGGAGTGCTTGATAGGCAACCCAAAACCATTCACTGCAGCAACCTTACAATATCTTACAATTGTTGCCTGGTGGTTACACCAACTTAGATCCATTCCTTTGAGCCCAAACCTGCCTTCACACAGAAGCCCATGGCCTCAACAAGGCTTGCAAAGACTTCATCCTCCGTGGCTTTCGTGGAAGGAGCGAACGGGGTATCGGGACTGCGAGGAGGAACCTTGTTTGGAAGTCTTGGATGGGAAAACACTTTTAAACAAACAGCATGGCTGAGACTGTATATGCACTATACACAGACGGTCCTGGGGTGGGAAGCTTCGGTAAGTCATTCTTTTTGGCCTTTCCGATCATGCGGCGAATTGCCCATGCCTCCTGGTAGCAGGCATCCATCGAACGAGACAATTTGCTTAGCACAAAGAAGTGCTCAACTGCAGAAATCAAGACCTCGATAGATGGAAGTTGCAAGTTGTAGGAGGCCATGATGACCAGAATTGGTTTCAGAACGGCACTATTCAGCTTCACATTCTCCAAGGATGCATCAACCTTTCCACAGGCGGGCTCACCTGTCTCATCATAGGCAAGGCAAAGGTTCTTGTTCCCCCTGATGCGCTCTCTGATCGAAGGTTCATTGTCCCAAGCTACTGGGACCCCATCCAAATCAAAGGTTCCAACAGTCTTTGGGGAACATCCGGGTGAGCTAGTGCGGCTCCCACTGCCACCGTGGGCTGAAGAAGGCATGGCTTTTTGCCCCTATGCAGCACTACCAAACCACAGCCCAAAACTGGCTGCGCAGGAGTCTATGGTGAGGCTCAGAGACAGCAAAGTGGTGTCACTATGCGCTGATCAATGAAGTTGGCGCAAAGTATATAGTATATAAAGGAACCATGAAAACATCACCAAACAAAACAACTCATGTTCAGATCAAGGAAAAAATATACTGTACATGGCGGATTCTCAAATGGCTGAAGAGCTTTATGTTTGTGTTGATCGGCCAATGTACATCATCAAAGTGCGGGACGTGCCGAGCGCAACAAAAACCACAGGCCAGGAATACCATGTGCAGAATTGGCCAAAGCAGTTCCATTCCACCATTGCTTTGGCATACCCCAAAGCACCTAATTAAACACTATATTGGATGAACATGTGTTCTTGCATGTACTGCGCCGGAGCACATTCCTGCACAGTTCCAACATATCAGCATGATGCAGGTCAGGGGCCTTCAGGAGACTTGAGGATCGAGTACCCCCTTTCAAGGTACAGCGTGTGTTCATCATGCATCTCCGTATATTGACTTGAGCCCATGATAGGGGTCCAATGTATGGCCCATGATCTTGCCATGCCACTCAGCGCTCTTGATTGAGCAATCGAGACGGATCGAGAAGAGGCTGAAAAAAGCACCTGAAGGTTTTGCATGGCAAGGGGATGATAAGGGGTGTTTGCCGGAAGGATCTTTCAAGGTTCCAAATCATTGGGACATATTGGGACCATTCATGACAGTAAAGCTGGATTCCACAGGGTATATGCCCAAAAGTAGCCATACGGGTATTCACGTCCCGGACAACTATTGTTGGCCATCCTCCTGGAAAGCTTGCTTTTCAGATCTTGGACAAGAATTTGTCTCTATGGGGTGCAGCAGGTAGCATTTTGTGTTTCTCCTTGATCCCCGCTTCCAGAGGCAGAGAAAGAGACAGAGGAAGAGAAAGAGGAAGAGGAAGAGCAAGAGAAAGAGCAAGAAAAAGAGAAAAAGGAAGAGAAAGATAAAGAGGAAGAGAAAGCGAAAGGGAAAACGATAGAGATAGAGAGAGAGAGAGAGAGCGAGCGCACAGGCAGAGGCAGAGGCAGAGGCAGAGGCAGAGGCAGAGGCAGAGGCA